AATTTTCAATTGTTTTCACAACGTGAAAGTTTTTGACGTGTAAAAACTTAGATATTGTTTAGGTCTTGTGTAACATTATGTTTTTAGACTTAAAAGTAAGAAGTTATTAAAAAAAATCAAAAAAGTCAACGACTATTATAACTTAAAAGTCAAAAATTCTATTTTCTCTCTACTTTTTAACATAGTCTTTTTGTAAAAATAAAAAAATTCACTCCTCACATTTACATTTTTTTTACATCATATTTAACCAAAAATCAAAATATTACTAAAATCTATTCCCAAACGAGGTCTTAGTTAATTAAAAACTATCTTTTTATTCTATAAATAATTAAAAAATAATCATTTTATTACACATTCATTTCAATAAATCAAAATATTATGTAAAATATTATTTATTTCATCAGTTTGAGCTTTTAGAGCAGCTAATTATTGACATGGTCTCTCTTCAATCCAATGGTTGGCACTTCCAACAAGGTCATCATAGTGCGGAGGTTTTTCAAATGCTTCCCATGGACTCCATAGAAGTGGCAAACAAATGAATTCATTTTCCACTTTCCCATTTTCACTTTAAAAGTTACTGAAATGAGGGGGAAAAAAAAGTGGTTAAAAAGGGGTTTTTTTTTTTTTTTTTTTTTGCTCAAGGCTAAAGTGGGAAGTTCCTTCCTCAATTGGTCCATGCTGAGGGATGAGAGAGAACATCTCCATCATAATACACAATTCCAAAAGTTCACCATACTGAAAACCAAATCACTTTTTCCTTGCACCGCACTCAATCATCTCAATCATAAAGAAGGGTAAATTAAAATGACATTTACTCTCTTACAGCATTTTCAATAACAAATGTTATAATAATATTTATTATTATTATAATTTGACATTGGATAATAGTAAATTGTTAAATTATAATAATAGTACTTTAATAATCACATGTCATTTTGATAAATTTCAATAAACTTTTTCTCAAATTTCCTAGGTGTTACATGGATATAAGTTTTTTAATGATTTTTTTATTATTTATTTTTTGTCTTTTGTGATCTTTTTAAAACTTTTTATAAAAAAAATTAAATATTTACATTCTACCCGACTAGACAAATACAAAAAATTGAAAAAAAAATTAAATAATTGAAAAATTGTTGTCTTCATTTCAATATGTTTGTATTTTTTCATAATAACAATGAAAAATTAAAATTATATTGAAAAATACATTACATTGAAAAATCAAAATTATATTGAAACAGAAATACTAAAAATTATATTGGAAAATAAATGACATTGCAAAATGAAAGGTACATTCTTCCCCAATTATATCTTCATCAAGAGGCAGGGGAAAATCGTAATTTGGGTTGCTCACATGTACGGATCACTTTGCGAAAATCTCATTCTTGCGCATTATATAATAAGCTTTCAGCTGAGGGTCCATATTAGAAATGTCCGCAATCATTATGGAATGTTCTTCCTTTGTCATCTCAAGTTCTTTCATTTTCTGCAATACTTAAGCCCTTGTATCTTCTCTTTTAGCTTTTTTCATTTCTTTCTCAGTAAAGTGTTGGTTAAATGTCTCTAACAAATTATTAAATTTGTGGACTTCAGCTTCAACAACTTGACTTTTTTGAAGTAATTCTTTTACAAATTTCCTACCTATAGGCCTTTTACCCCTTGTAGGGACACTATTATCACCAACACTTAGATTGTTACCTTCAGTTAGACTGTTATCGTCTTGAAGAGAAATACAATTATCCATAGGGGAATCAGGGACTGAATCGGTAAATGGTATATGTATTCTTGACTTGACTGTATTCGTAATAGTCACATCTTGCCACTTGATATTATTTTGCAACACTTGCCAACAATGTTCAAAAGGAAAATGCTTTTTTTTTTCATCTTGATGGTATACAAATTTTGTTTGAAGCATCTGTATGGATAAAATATTAAATAAATTAATTAGTTAATTTTTTTACAACATGAAATAAAAAAAACTAATATAATAAATGAAGATTAAATCTTACTACATCTTACTATATCAACTTGAGATGGTACTTGGGTGTACATTTTTGACTTGTGCTAAATACCCACGAAATTTGTTAGAATATTTCATGATTGTATCCCATCGAGATTGGATATACACTTGTGTTCTTAATTGATCATTCTGAAGTGAGCAATAATTTTCATAAATTCTCCCCCAAAAGTGAGCATAAGATTGCGAATTCCCAACAATTGAATCTTTATAAATGTGATACTAAGCTTTACAAAAGTGCCACATCTTCATTAATGGTGCATGATTTTCCTCTATTTGTTTTTCATGAACCTTCCATAGTGATTGTGTGAAAAAACTATAAATAAAAATATAATTTGGGAGATTTGTTGTGAAATGAAATTGAAAAAAAGAGAGGAGAAAAAGAAAAATATAATTCACAAGGCTTGCTTTGAAATGAAATTAAGATTAAGGGTTTGAATTCATAGAATTACAAAATATGACCCCTTTTTCTAAATATGGCCGTTGAGAATTTAAAACAATATGGCCTTTTATTTATAGCTATTGTGCTTCTGTTTTACAATTTTTTTAATTTTTTTTAATTTTTTTAATGAGCAAAATAGCAAAATTGTTGGCAATCCAACGGTTGATTAATGAACAAGATCTCAGCCGTTGATTAAATAACAATCCAACGACTAAGATGTATCCTCTAGAATGATCCGCTCAAGAGAAAAACCCATTTTTCTCTCTTACTCTCATCGAACCAGTCAAAGATAATGAGAACATCTGTCTCTCTCTCAGGTGTTCAATCTTTGTCAAAACAGCCACGACCTCCTTTCTCACCATCTTCATCAAAAACCCTTTTCTCCAAAACGTGATTGTCAAAACCCCTTGATCATCACCACTATTAGACGCGATTGCTAAAACCAGTCTTTTCTCTCTCTCTCTCTCTCTCTCTCTCTCTCTGTGATTTGCATTATCACTACTAACACCGATCATCAATCACCGATCTCCGAGTTTAATGGAACTCCAGTGTTTGACTGAACACCACTGTTTACACTTCGATGGAGCTCGATCGGTCTAGGAATGAGCCCTACAAGTCGATGAAGAAGAAACCCTAGAGGTCGATGGAGATTGAAATGAAGAACAAGTTCATCAATCACGCTAGAATCTAGGTATTTATCTTTTAAATTCATTTCTAAAATTTATATAAATTTGTGAAATTTGGGTTGATTTGTTCTTGACTAAAATTTGGGTTTGATTTGTTCTAAATTGATTTTGAAATTTGTGATTTGTTCTAAATTGATTCTGCTATTTGTGAAATTATGAATTTGTAAAATTTGTGGAACTTTGAATGATCATTATTGAATCGAATTCTGTTTGTGGAACTGAAATCGAATTCTATTTCTAAAATTGAATGATCATTATGAAATCGAATTTGTGATTCTATTTGTTTATGAAATTTGTGGAACTAGTGAATGAAATTGAATTTGAGAGGCTTTTCTAGTGAATGAATTTTGTTTTTTCAACTGAATTTGGAGCCAAAAATTTATTGATATTTGATGATGTGACATGTTTGGCACATGCTATTCAACCTACCAAATTTGAGAATAGAAATGGCATCTACTATCTTTGGCAAGAAGAATAGCTGGCCGTTGCAGGCCCTTTTTTTGTCACTCTTGTCAAATTATAACTTTGACAGCTCCTTTGGCAGCTCTATTAGAGATGCTCTTACATATGTTAATAGGGTGATCAAATTACTATATTATTCCTTAAATATTTTATATTAAATATGTACTAATATCAAATGATATATCTACCCTCCTATTTCCCTAATGAATTTATTTAATTAACCTTATTCTCCCAAATATGAGCATTATTCAAGTATTGAATATGAATGTCTAACTATTAGAGACTACCAGTCTATAACAACTAAAATATTAATAAAGTCTAACACAATCAATATACCAAGCTCACTGAGTCAAGCCTAACAACCACTGGCAGAGCCAAGAATTTAATGTAAGGGGGAACCTATTAATTATAATATCAAATTTTTTCTTCCCCAATCAATAACAATAACATAATAATAATTTTTTGAGCTAATATTAAACATTAAAAATTAATATTCATTACAAAAAGTTTTTAATTTTAAACTTTTACAATTGACCCCGACAAGTTTTTATCTTTTAAATCTTTCCATGATACTATCATTGTCAATGCCATAAAAAATCTCTCTTAATGTAGGTAAACCAAGCTATCATTCATCCATTCATCACCCATTCGGTTCCGCAACCAATTCTTCACAATATTCATAGCTGAAAATATCCTTTCAACAATAGCAGTTACAACATGCAAGATTAATGCTAAAGTCAAAAGCAAATACACCAATGGATATATTTTGTCTCTTCCAGTCTTCACCATTTTCTTAGTAAGATCGATAATTCCATTCAACCTTGATAACTCACTACTAGATAGCATGTCGATAATATATGTATCAAGTTGATCATTAAGCACCATGAACTCCACTGAAGAAAATTCTTTGGGATAAAATTCGGCAAGATGAATTAACTTTTTCTTGTCAAAACTAGAAAATGAGTTAGATGGATTCAAACATGCCACACAAAGTAACAACTCAGTATTCGACTCAGTGAAACGAACATTTAGTTCTTGAATTTGCATATCCAAAACAATGTAGAATAACTTAGCTCGATAGTGACGTAAGTTTATAATTTCTTGAGCATTACACATTTTTTCTCTCGAGCTACAAACATATCATCCATTTGGGGAACATCAATTCATGCTTTTCACAAAAAGACAAAATATCATCAAGTAAAGATGTTCACCCACTCTCTCTCATCTTTTGGAGTCGTACTTTAGAAATTTGAACTAAATCCATGGCATTAACAATATCTTGATATGTCCTTTATAGTGCTTACGATAACTCACTTGTAATAGCCAATATCGTTTTCATCAAATGAAGGTTGAATACAAACTCAAATGATTGAATTAAGTCCAACAATACATTTGCTTATGCTCGTTGTTTTGAATTTGAACCATTCTCCAAAATCATTTCAAGCACATCAATCACTATTGAAAACATACCAGCCAAGCTAACTAAAGTACCATAGTGTGAACCCCAACATGTATCACCAGCACCTTTAAGATTAGTTTCTTGATTTAAGCCTTGCCTACTAGATAGCTCTCTAGTATTAAGTGCCTCAGCAACTTTTGCAGCTTGCTTCTCCCTAATAATATCTCGACATTTGCATGATGCTCCAACAACATTCACCACATTAGAAACCAAAGTGAAAAGTAAAACAATTTGATCATGATTCTTTGCCACAGCTACAAATTCCAATTGCAATTGATGAGCAAAACAATGAACATAATATGCACAAGGATTCTCTTTCAGTATAAGTGTTTTAAGACCATTGAACTCATATTGCATATTACTAGCCCCATTATATCCATGACCCCACAATCTGAAAATACTCAATCCAAGTTTGGAGAATAAATTTTCCACAGCTTGTTTGAGTGAGAGAGCATTCGTATTAGTAACATGTTCAATACCCAAAAAGCGCTTAATCACCTGGCCTTTTTTGTCCACATATCGTATTACAACTGCCATATGCTCCTTGATTGATATGTCACGGGCATCATCAATCAAAATAGAAAAAAGTGCATCACCAAGATCTCTAATAATCACATTGATAGTTTCAAATGCGGCCACATTTACAATATGTTTTTGAATATCAGGAGATGTCAACTTGACATTTTGTGGAGCATTGCTCAATGCAACCACTTTGACATCTTCATTATGATCAGCAAGAAAATTAAGAAGTTTAAGAAAATTTCATTGGTTACTTGAATTTTCAGATTCATCATGCCCATGAAACACAAATCCTTGTCTTAGAAGAAATTTGACACAATCAACCGATGCATTCAAACAGGTTCAATACTCAATTCGAGCTTGATCAGATTGTTTGAAAAAAATTGTTTGAATATGTTGATTTTGGTTTAACAAGTTTTGACATTTACTCGAAGCTTGATTATGAGCACTATTGGGACCTCCAACATGAGTTTGAATTTTTTCTTTTTTCTTCCAATTTGAGAAATCCTCACCAACAAAAGAATCACCACCAGCTTGATCTCCAATGTCAGGTTTGAAAAGATAACGACATAAACAAAATGCTGAATCTTTTGCTACCCTATACTCCAACCAATTAGGAAATTCACTAAACCAAGCCCGATTAAATCGCCAAAGTTTTTGTCCAAATGATTTTTGTGAAAAATTATGATCACGAGGTTGACAAGGACCTTTTTATAGATTTGCACTACGAATTTGGTCTCAATCATTAGCATTATAGTCCATAATCCAAGGCCGTAGTCCTGGATCAGCAAGAAGGTCTACTAAGTTGATTTCTATGCGACTTTGTTTTGCCGAAGAATAATTATAATTTTCTTCTTGAGGAAGAAATGATTCCAACTTTGATTTTCTTTTGAAATATTTCTCCATGACTGTTTTAAAAAATAAAAATCAAAATAAAAATTCATAATCCAAATCACAAACCCCCACAAATCAAAATCTCAAATTTTAATACAAATCAAAAATTTTAAATTTAGCACAAGTCACAACAAATAAAATTTCTAATATACCTATATTATAACAAATGAAAGTCCCTAATTTAAATAACAAATACTACAAATTAATATTTTTAATTGTAGCACAAATCAAATCCCTAATTTCAGCACAAACTGTTGGATCAATCTTCTGTGTAAATAAAATAACTAGAAATAAATTCAAACAAAATAAATAAATAACATACCAAATTTATTTATCGAACCGAATTAAAATTAAAAGACCAAGTCGAGTGTATGACACTCTGTCCTTAAGACAGATTCACCCTGCTACGGTGCTTATGGTTGAGTGGTGTATATCTCCCAAGATACAATGATCTTCACAAATTATAATAGCACTCCAAACAATTTGTTCGGCGAACCAAACCTATGATCTATACTCTCTTTAATTTATTCTAAAACTAAATATGAAGAATAAATTCACTAGAGAAAAATTGGACAGCAATTTAGACAATCTGTAGACTGATTTTTCAAAACCCAAGACTACTGGAACATGGCTGTATTTATAGGCAAAAAATCTGACCCGAATAGGTACTAATCTGCTATTTGAAATTAAACAGATCTACCAATTGAATCAATAGATGCAGCAGTTATAACCTGTTCCGAAACTGCCCGAACAGTTTCAAATTCAAATCAGTTCAGGTGCAAGTTTGGACCATATCAAACTGATGTGGAATTCAAATCTATTGAACTTTATTATATAAACTATTTTGAATATATATATATATATATATATATAATAAACAAATTAAATAGTTTAACAAATAAATGAAGAGGTACAAATTTTAGGAAACCACTTAGGAACCCAAAATTTGAATTTAGAATTAAATTAAATTCCCACAATTACAAACTTTAGGAAACCGCTTAGGAACCCAAAATTTGATTTTAGAATTAAATTAAATTCCCACAATATTTTTTATTGAAAAAATTCAAATGAATTTTATCTAAAAAATTAAATGTTAGACCTCGAAAACGACGTCAACTTCCCATTCACTCATAAATGGTTTGAACGTTCCTCTTCACTGTGTGATTTGTAACGCGGCAAGGAACACGTCACCTCTTCGAACCCACCCAAAAAGACTTTGGGGCCCACTCAATTTTGCGCTAAAAAATATGCCTATATTAAACCATTTTTCCAACAATCCCACATGAATGGAATTGATGGAAAGAAAATGCAAACAACATGATCTAATTACAGAGAGTACAGAAAATTGGTAATATTCTGCAAAGGATAGGTAGCTTTTGGCTTTGAACCTTCCCTTGTGAGACACATCAGATTTACTAGCTAACCAGTAACATGATGTCTTGAACTGTTCAGCCGTTTGTGTAACCAAGACAATAGAACTCACACAGTATATCCAGACACAGTTTTGTTCTCACTATTGTGTTCATTTTGGCCCTGAACAACCTGGTCTTTCATGAGTGCTCTAGAGAATTGTTAGCCCTTCACAAATCTCATAGAACCGGCCCCAGTTCACACTCATATAGGTGATTCTTATGAAAGAGTATCCTGCTATACTCACTAGGTTACCTAGATATAAGAATTATTAAAAATTTACTTAACCAAACGCCGCAGACATCAACTATTTTCATCAGAGAAATGGGTAGGAGTTGGACTCCCCAGTGATCCTTCCTGAGTCATTCACAACCGGTTGTCCCTTTGACCTAGATCTTGGGATCTCCAGTCCAACTAGGTTGGGTTGCCGTTGTGGTAACTCTTATTTAATAGGTTTAAGTCCCATTGCCCTCGATGAATTTTCAACTAACTCTCTTGCAACCCTTTGGTTAGTGGATCCGCTATGTTGTCTTTAAACTTAACATATTCTATGGAAATACTTCCATTAGAAGAGTATGTCTCACGGTATTAGTTCAACGATCGAATGTGTCGAGACTTAACCGGTTCATACATATGACTCTGTCTCTAGCTATTACCGCGATTGACTATCGCAATGTATGCATATAGCAGGTGTAGACGTCCCGAACGCCCCGGAGGATGAGTCCCGTTGTTCATTTTGGGCTCACTTACAGTTCGGACTCAAATTGTCCACGTTCTTTAATCTAACCAAAAGAGTCCAAATCCGGCAATTCGTTTGGAAAAACAGTTTTTGTAAAGAAGTGCCAAACATGGACTGCTTGCAGATACAGAGTCGCCACCTAAATAATTTTTTGGAGGAATTTAGGAAACCTTGACTCGTTTGCCTAGGCCACGTTGTCCGTCATCACCAAAGTTGCCTCTGGCTCGGGAACTTGGTACGATGGAAGGTCAGCTATGAGGCACCCTCACTCCCGATCAAAGATCGGCCTTTACCTACTACCATGATATCTAGTTTTGAAATACATTATGCGTCTTATGTCCGGTTATTAGCCTAGATTTACTAACGTGACTGCCCCAACATCAAACAAGTATAGGACTAAGTCGCCTAAATTGGAACGAAACATGTCATGTTTGGTTTTTAATTTGAAAAATTGGTTTGATGGTTGCTACCTCAAGTAGGCAAACATAATTTTTGCCACCCTCCAAGGCTAGAAAAATATAATTGTGCCACTCCTCAAATGGGCTTAAAAACTCATATTCAATGCGTGTTCCAATTTAAGAACTTCAACCTTCACCCACAGGCATTCAGGCAGTTATATCACAATAAGCACATAGCCACATGGCCAAGCATGCTGTACAGCTAATATTCACAACATCAAGATGCTAAAAGCATAAACACTCACAAGTGTACACCAGCCCAAAGACAAGAAACTAGTAAGTAATCATGCACACCTATCCATTTAAATGGGCATAATGCAGTCACATACAGAATCTACTAGGAATAGGCTCGGTTAATCTGATGGATGCATGTGAAATGCACAAATAACAATTATCAGTTAAGATTTGATACTAGCCAATTATATGATGCGCCGAGCCCGGTGCATGCAATACAGATGAATGATGCAAACATGCAATCATAAGTATGCTAATTTAGATATGCCCTAATACTAACCATTGAAAGCAGGTAAGTAAAAGGGAGAAAGAAGTGGGGGTTGGAAGACATGCACACACGCACCCACACTTATTACAAATTCGCCCTTGCTCGGAGGGACCAAAAGAATAATACAATTTAATTAACCTATAAGCTAATTAAATATTACATACCACCTAATTAATTAACAAATCAATTAAGCTAAGGAAAGCGGTAAAAGGCCTCGGGAAGAGGGATGCACGCATGCTCGGATTGACTTCGCCCGGAAATCCAATGCCGTGCACAAGCTGCCTCTGTTTACCCTGCTCTACTCCTCTGAGGACTGCACAAGTCCCAAGGTACACCTTATGAACACTGGGGAATGCCACCGGCCATGAGGAATGGTCACCAGCCAAAGGGAAGTGGTCATCGACCATCTATGGAGATGTCGGCCATCCATCATTGGTCAATCGGCACATGATGTAGTCGACCGGCCAAAGCTTCCTGCAGAAACCTGTTTTGACAGCAGCAGAGGACAGACAAGGCATGGCAATGCATTTCAAAGCAAATTTTTGCACAAACACCCTCCTTATCATGTTCATGACTCAAAGGAGGATGGTCCTTGATTCTCGGACCACCAATCGCGCATTTCAATGCGTGATGGCCCAAGAAACCAAGTGTGCCACTCAATATGAAATGAAATGCATACAAACAAACATGAGGCCCAACCTCAATCATGGTTAATCAAGAGGCAAGGCATGCATGCCAAATACAACCTAAGCATGTGAGCTAAGTATGCAACATGAGCATGGAGGCAAGTATGCAAGCATGCAATATGTACTAGGCACACAACCTAAGCAAACAAGCATGCAAGGCATGGAACAACTATGCTAATGACAAGCATGCAACAACACATGGGGCAAACATGTAACAACATGTTAAGTAACCTAAAGCCACAAGAGTGCATGCCAAATGCACTACCACTTAAGCATGATAACAAGATGTTTATGGGCCACGTATGTGACAACGTGCAAGGCTAATGTACACACAAACATTCATGCACACATGGTCCAATACTTGTGCATAAAAAGGCAGCTTTTAAGCACACTTAACATGGACAAATAGCTACACGATAAGCTTTGAAAACATGTAGAAGATGATGCCAAATCAACTTACCATTGCAAGCAAGGCATGCAACCAAGCCCAAGGACTTAAACTATGATCATATGACACATGAAGCAAATGATCAAAGTGAATCAAAATAGTCCCAAATCATGCCAAATTAAGCCTCAAAAACCACTTAGATGGCATCTAAATGATCTAATCCTAGAGGCATACACAACAACACAAACATGGAGCATGAAACACCAACCTTATAAAGCATTAAAGGGGCATCAAATGCAAGCATACAAGCATACCACAAGGACTGAAATGACATGACAAGTGGTTCTAAACCACTGAAATGATGCAATGATAGCATGCTAGAGGGTCCAATACTTAAGGCCTACAAGGGGGATTACATGGTAGCTATACAAAAAAAAGCATAGATGACCCAAATGACCAAAAACGATCCTCAAGCACATCAAAACAAGCATAAAAGCTTCATAAAGCTAAGCCAAAAACATGCTAGAAACAAGGCTCAAAGCATAAAGCATGTTAAGGCAAATCATGGCATTACAAGACAAGTATGCAAAGCAAGCATGGTGTGTCTAAACCAAGTAAAAACAAAGCTATATTATGACATAATAAGCACAAAAATCAGTTAGGACATGGCCAACATGAACCTAAATTAGATGCTCACACATAAGGCAAAAATGATCCTTTTCAAGGACAACAAGGAGAGGGGGTGGCCCTCTCCTTCTTAGGACCTCAAGGCACCATCCTCACCACTAAAATCCCTCAAGATTTCAGTGGTGAGGAGGCCCAAACACAATGGTCCCGGAACTCACCAAAAATGCACAAAAATGGAGCCTAACAAGGCTTAAGAGGGGTCAAACAACCTCAAAGCTCAAAACACTCTAAAACAACTATTTAGAGTAGACAAAAACAAGACTTTTATATGTTATACACCAAGTCTAAAAACAGTTGCAAGGTAGTCAAAAAAACTATGCAAAAATGGGATAAAAAAAAAGCAAGAATGTTACGCTTGAAGACCCTCTTCACAAATGGTGGACCAGCTGCTTCTTTGAGCTCAAAACCACCCAAGAACACCAAGAACAGACCTCTGGACCCTCAACAACCAAGAAAAGGTGTAAGACTAGGTGTTTATGTGCAAAAGTAAGACAAAACACACACTAGGGTTCGATTATCAGTCAGTTATCAGTCATTATCCGTTTCGTTTAACAGTAATCGGTGATTATCGGTAATCAATCAGTCCCTAGTCAGTAAACAGTATGAGGGTTGTTACAACTCCTCTGGCTTTTTTTGTAACCCTAATGGAGGGAGAAGAGGCCTCCTCTTATAGAGCTTCCCTCTTGCAAAGCTTCTCAAGTAAGCTAGTCAAGAGGGAGATCCCTCTATACACGTGTATAGAGGGGAACAATGTGTATGCCAGCTAGCACAGCTGGCATAAAAATATTTGCAAAAGCAGATGAACAGTGGTCGGCCGGTCAAAAACTCAATTTGACCAAAATAGAAGGCCGGTCGACCATCTAGAGTGCCGGTCGGCCAAACATTTGGCCGATGGCAACAAAACACAGCTGGTGGCCTCAAGCCATGGCCGGTGGAGTGTGGGGATGGCCAACAAGCCATTCCCTGCCCTCCAAAGCAAAAACAGAAGTGTTTGGTGCAAAACCAAACACAAAGAGTCGAGTCGAGAGATCCTGAGGTAAGGCGCGTAAGGGGCATCAAATGCAAGCATACAAGCATACCACAAGGACTGAAATGACATGACAAGTGGTTCTAAACCACTGAAATGATGCAATGATAGCATGCTAGAGGGTCCAATTTTTTACTGAATTTTTTTAATATTCTAAGCATTTTTTTTTTACTTTTTAGACACACCTAACATAAATACACCTAAAAAGTATAAAAAAAGTAAAAAAAAATCTTTTAAAAATTCACTAAATACCAAAAATACAAGAATACAGTATATTTTTTGTATTTTTATGTATTTATTAATTTTTTAAAATATTTTTTTACAATTTTTTTACTTTTTAGATACATCTAAGTAAGGTGTATCTAAAAAAGTAAAAATAAAAAATAAAATTTTAAAAATATTCACAAAAACAAAAAATACGAAAATAAAAAAAATCAATTTTTAAAAAACTTCCAAAAAACTCTAACCAAACATACTATATTGGATTGGGTTCAATCATCACATTTTTATTAGGCCTCGTTTGGGGACTGACTATTTTAGTCAAAAAGTCAAAAAGTCAACTAAAACTAATCACATTATCTCTCTACTTTTCTATACATCTTTTCGTAAAAAACTAAAAAATTATTAAAATAGCCTGTTTCTAAACAAGGCCTAATATCCTAATAAGACGTGGGGATTATTTTAATATAAAAACATATGTCATAGATAGATGGAAAGGCGGCAATAGAGATGTGGTGGTGCATAACATGAGTCCGGATCCTCGGCCGCCATTCTTGGCAGCTCTTCCCTGCAGCCCCCAAAACGACGTCGTTTTGGGAGCAAATTTTCAAAAAAAAAAAAAAAAAAAAAAAAAAAAACACACGCACACAAAACCAGAACCCAGAAAGGGTGGGGAGTTGCTGAACAGAAACCAGAAGGGAGGAGAAGAAAAGGGAGAAGAAGGGAGATCTGACCTTGTGGAGCAATAATGGACCGGATCTCTTCTTCGTTTTACAAATCCATTCAATGTTAGGAGTCCGGATCTCTTCTTCGTTTTACAAATCTAAGATATATATATATATATATATACATATATATGTGTATATACAAAAATCTGAGAAATTCAAAATCGGATGTTCAAAATCTGAGAAATAGACCATTAAATATATATATATATATATATAGATGTTGAATTGGATTTTCCAAGGATGAGAGGCATGGACGAGCCATCCAAGGAATATGGGTTTGAAATTTTTAGGAAAATGGGTTTGAAATTTTTAGTTCTTAGGAAAATGGGTTTGATTGGGTTTGAAATTTTTGATTGAAATTTTGGGTAGGTAAGGGCGATGAACACAGGAGGAAAATGGATTTGATTGGGTTTGAAATTTTTGATCGAAATTTTGGGTAGGTAAGGGCGATGAACACAGGAGGAAATTTTGGGTTTGAACACAGGATGAAATTTTGGGTTTGAAATTTTTGATTGAAATTTTTTGGGTAGAAAATGGGTTTGATTCTGTTCGTAGCTTTCTTTCTCTTCCTTTCCTTCGTTTTTTTCTTTCTTTTTTTTCTGGTCTTCATCTCTTTGTTTCCTCAATTTCATTACCTGGGCTTGCTTTTGTTTTTCCAAATGATCTATACATACACACCCCTGTGTATGTGTCATTTTTTTTTCCTGGGTTGTGAGGTTTTGAATTTTGGGTCTGATTAGTGTTTGTGTTTTGGGTTCTTTTCAGGCTAGCGACATTGCCGTCGTCAAATTAGACTGATCTTGACCCGATTCAGACAACAAACTCTCCCAATCTTCCAACCCAATCCCAAATCTTTCGCCGCCGGAAACCTCCAGTGCCGCCGGAATCGGCTGATCTTGACCCATTAAATTGCATTCCTATCATCTAAACAAGTAAACACCCAAGAAAACGAAGATCTGAAGGGTATGAAAGAGGGGGGGAAAATGGATTTGGGTGTTACAGATTTGAAGGGTTTTTTGAAGTGTTGTTTAATGGGTTTTGAAAGGTTTAAGCTTTAAACCAACCTCAAAGCCATGAATCTGAGAAGAGACCCATTTACCCAGAGAGCTCACTCTGTTTTCTTTCCAGCCTTTTCTCTTCCTTTTGAGTGCCATATCACCATATGATGAGCTTCATATACTTTGATTTTCTCCCTCCTCCGCTCCCTTCGTTCTGGTTTTTTTTTTTTTTTTGGTGAAAATTTGCCCCCAAAACGACGTCGTTTTGGGGGCTGCAGGGAAGGGCTGCCGAGAATGGCGGCCGAGGATCCGGACTCGCCCAAAATTCAGATGAGGGTATGCATGTGGTGTGGCTGCCCACAATTGCCCAGACAGTTTGGTCGGTTTAATTCTGGTGAATAATGAGCCTATAGAGGATCCGAACGCTATATCCTAACCTATCCTATTCATCCAAAATTTACAAAGATAAATATATATACCACATATATAATAATAGGAAAATGCCTCCGACCCCCAGTGGGGTACTGGGGGTCGCATGTGAATGGTGAGAAAAAAAAAACTGTTATTTTTTTTTTTTTGGCCAATGTGGAGGCGACACCTCACTGGGGGTCGTCAGTGGGGGTCGCCCCACTGGGTGTAGGAATCACAGCCCTAAGAAAAGAGGAAAGTAAAAAAGAAGATCAAACTAAAAAGTAAAATTGGTACAGAACATTGAGTTTTCAAAATTCCACTCATATGTTTATATGGCCTCAAGTAGAGAGTTTTTGCACAATTGCCAAAAATTTGCATTTACTTGAAATTAATTTCAAATGTATAAAACTTGTAAATGGCACAGGTTAAAAAACTAAGTGATAAAAGTAATAGGGTAAATTCAAGAGATTTTCAACAAATTCAGGAATTTTGATAATATCATATTGATTAAATTGGCCTTTCCTTTTTGTTAGGTTTTTATAATTGGCAATCCCGTTGGACAAAACTCTGTTCAGTTATAATTTCATTTACTCTATTGTATTTGTGAATTATGAGAGTTTAGATGTGAATCCAACCCAAGTTATGCCTATGCAGAGGAGGAGTTTGTGCTGACATTCCGTATCATTCCGTGTTTGCCGCTTTGCTGACTGCATACGAGGATCGAGTTGAGTCGTAAAGTGGTTCATCCAGTATCTGTGTCTGCTTTTTGAACTTTTGAGAAATATGTTTCACTACTCAAGCGGTGAATATTGCGCTAGGGCGGTTGGCCTATATGTGAGCCCCGCCTTTTAGTCACACCGCTCAAGCGGTGAAGTGTGCACTCGAACGGTGTGACTAAAAGACAGTGCTCACATATAGGCCAACGCGATCATCGCAACTTTGTTTAGTATAAAGTGCGCTATTTACTCATTTTAGGGTGGAACCCGTCTAGATTCTTGGTGAGGAGAAAAATACAAAGTGGTCTATATTGGAGAGTGTTTTTGTACGAGTTTCCTTGATGTATAGAAGATGACGATTGATCAACGAGTTACATATTGTTTATCATCAAAGGTTGTTTTTGTTCTTTTGCTCATTAAAACAGAGAGATGTTCATCGGTAGATTCTGGGAACTTAGGCTTGAAAGTTTGATAGATTCCAAAGTAGCTCATCATCGTGAATTCGATATCGGCATTGTAGGTTCAACGTTGGGCAAAGCAATTCTAAGGTAAAACGGTGGTAGAAGAGGCACATCGAGTTTGGTTCAATTTAGACGTAGATTAGCTAAGTAGTTGAGAGTTCTCATTTGCTTTTTTGTCCTCTTAGTGGATTGTTTTGTGGTTTGACTCATGATTTTTGTTTTTTTTTAATCACAATTGGAGGAGTCCAATTGTGATTTTTTTCACATTATATCGTTGTGTTGATTTGTTATTGATTGTTTAATTGGGATTGTTATTCATTATTTAAAATTGAATTATAATCACAAATCAAAATCTCGTGATTTTTTTAAATTTTCACTCCCTAAAATATTTTAATGTGAAGAGTTTTAGCCTATTATTAGCTCTGTAAATGGGACTATAAAATATGTGGAAATTAAAATAAATAAATAAAAAGAATATGAACTAACGCTTCGTTTATTTGGGTGCAAAACATTTTTGAAAAAGATTTTCCATATTTTTGGTGTCTGGAGCAATGAAAAACGAAACTTAACATAAAATATTTTCCATGATGAATAGAAAACAAGCCTATACGGGTAGAAAATATTTTGAATAAACTACCAATAGGTCCTAATAGTTGAACTTAATGACCACTAATTCCAATTGAAAATAAGTCCAGTAAAATCGTTGAGTAGCACTCCAAACAATTTGTTCAGCGAACCAAACCTGTGATCTATACTCTCTTTAATTTATTCTAAAACTAAAATGAAGAATAAATGCACTAGAGAAAAATTGGACAGCAATTTAGACAATCTGCAGACTGATTTTTCAGAACCCAAGACTGCTGGAACATGGCTGTATTTACAGGCAAAAAATCTGACCCGAATAGGTACTAATTTGAAGTGAACAGGTGTGAAATGAATTTGAACAGATACTATTTGAAATTAAACAGATCTGCCAATTGAATCAACAGATGCAGCAGTTTATAACCTGTTCCGAAACTGCCCGAACAATTTCAAATTCAAATCAGTCCGGGTGCAAGTTTGGACCATATCAAACTGATGTGGAATTCAAATCTATTGAACTTTATTATATAAACTATTTTGAATATATATATATATATATTAAACTATTTGAAAATATATATATATATATATATATATAATAAACAAATTGAATAGTTTAATAAATAAATGAAGAGGTACAAATTTTAGGAAACCACTTAGGAACCCAAAATTTGAATTTAGAATTAAATTAAATTCCCACAATTACAAACTTTAGGAAACCGCTTAGGAACCCAGAATTTGATTTTAGAATTAAATTAAATTCCCACAATAATTTTTATTGAAAAAATTCAAATGAATTTTATCTGAAAAAATTAATGTTATACCCGAAACGACGTCAACTTCCCATTCACTCATAAATGGTTTTGACGTTCCGTCTTCACCGTGTGACTTGTCACGTGGCAAGGAACACGTCACCTCTTCGGACCCACCCCAAAAGACGTTTGGGGCCCACTCAATTTTGCGCTAAAAAATATGCCTATATTAAACCATTTTTCCAACACAAACAACAATAAACCAAAATCCCTACTTTTAATATAAATTACCACCAATTAAGATTCATAATTTTAGCATATCAAAATCTCTTATTTTAACATAAATAATAACAAATAAAAAAAATTTACAAATCAAAACTTAACAAATAACTATAAATTGATACTCATAATTTTTATTTAAAAATAAAAAAATCATAAATAAAGTTACCTGTAAATAATAAAGAGAAGATATTAAGGTTATAGTGTGATCCCAAATCTTAGTTGTGTGATTCTAATCTGGTCAATCACGAGTTGGTAAATTACAAAGCAACAAAGAGAGATAAAGAAAAAAATAAAATAAAATAACCTTGCTACCATTTTCCCATGAATCAAAAAAAAAATGTAATTGGATTGGAGTTGTATCAGTGTGTTTGGATGTGTGTGTGCTAGTGTTAGTGTGTTTGGAAATCTCGTGGGTGTGTCAGTTTTTTTGGGTCAAAGCGGGCTGCTGTGTATATAGGCACAAACAATCCTAAAAATAAATAAATAAATAAATTTCAAAAGTCAGGGGGCACGTGACCCCCTTGGCCTCCATAACCCTCCGTCCCGGCTAACAACACTTATAATGTGAGAGAAATAAATTACTATTACAAAGGGTATCAAACTATACTCTCCATAAAAGTTGTAATTGAGATTTCACATTGTAAAAAGTGCTACACAACCACTAAGTCAAATGTCTTCATTCTTCTTCTAACTAATTACTTTGTACATTGTGTGTGTTGGAACGATATGCCTCGTGTGGTTATAACATCCCCTTCTCTCATTAATTTTTACAGTGGGATTTATAATATTTATATTATTGATTGAGAAACAACATCAAAAATTAATTTTTTGTGATTAATCAAGAAGATACCACGTGTCACATTCTCAGCATCCAACGTCTTTTCGTGCTTGTATAGTAATGTAAATATGGGAAAATGGCCTTGGTTCCACTTTGCAATCCTCATTTTCAACTATAGTCTTCATTGCAAGTATTGGTACTTGTGTACTTGTGATCAAAGAAACTTCTCAAATTTGGCTGGTATCATTTGGTCCTCTCAGTCCATCACCTGTTAATACACTTATAACTTGCCTACTCTATCAACTCAATTAATTCAAAAATTTTATTCAACATTACTAGCATAGATATTAGCGTGATTGTCATGTCCTCTCCAATATGTATACCACAATATTGGCTATTTCTTGTTTAATGTGGCCTTGACTAATTTGTCATGATATTACTACTTTGTTAGATACTAGTTGCATAAGGTGCCAAATGAATGGTGAGGTTACATCTAACTCAAGATATATATCTATAATATATATGTGAGCATCTACTTTGATGTGTTAAAACTTTCTCTCTTTATGTAAAGTGTTTAATTTTTTTATTCACAAATATATATATATATATAGAAAAAAGGCTGTGACTTAAACTTAGGACCATAAATTTGATAAACAGAGCTCTTACCATTTGAGATGCATACAACATATATATATACACACACACTAGTGTATGTATCAATCTGATTTGTCCAACAAAAAAAAAATTTGTATCTATCTTGAAAAATCTAAAATCCTTGATATATTGATTTGTAATTATGTTCCAATTTAAAATAATAAATAACAATTACAATCAAATAATCAAGACAAAATAACATAACGATTTAATGTGAAAAAATCACAATTTGAATGCCTCCAACTGTGATAAAAAAAATCAGGGGTCAAAG